CCACGAAGGGTTAAAAATGGCCCTGTCTCAGAAATTGAAATTACTGCAGAAGGATCATTAACTAGTGTAGTTAATAAAATGATAACCATTAGACTTGTAACTGTGTCAGAAAAGACCAAGGTATAATGGATTTTTAGCCATTTGAGCGTATCGTTACAATTGTTTTCATTAACTTTCTAGTAACTTTATAATCATTTGACCACAAGAATTTTTTTTTACAAAATATTTCTTGAATCTCGTCTATATATCTTTTTTTTTTTAACTCTATTAACAGAAACTTACTAATATTAAGGTTTAAGCTGCACATTAGCGCTTCAATTAAATTTTGTATAAGTGACCCAAATACACGTTTTCTGCATTGATATTCACGAAATAGAATTTGCAGAGACCATGTAAACAAACATAATTCTGCAGCATCGATTAAATTAAAAGTCATAAATGATTTTAAAATATAAGCAATGAATGTCTTCTATTGGGTAGAAGGAATTTAGATTGAAAGCTGTAAGATATCTTGGCGAGCGGAGTACAGTCGTAAAAAGTATATAGGGATAGTTGATCACAACACATCATCTTATTTGTATACAGAAAGAATCATAGAACACATTATAATTGTACAAATCATCAGACACCAGAACCACATGTGCACTCATAAACATCATTCTCATTCCGGAGGATTAGATGCTTACTCTCAAATCAACATTTAGAATTAAACATTTGAATGAACGTTAGTTTCATATAATACTGCCATTCATACGTCACTGACCACATTACATAGTACTGCTCTCTCTAATTCTACCTTAAGCGCATGAAATATGTAGTCACCTGTAAAAATTGAAATATAATTCATTCAAATGGTTCAAAGAATCCGTTTTATATTTTCCCAGAACTTTTTTAGTAGACAAAGTAATAGTTTAAAGGGGCAATAAAGAATTATAAGACCAATAAAATCATACAACACCACGAACATATAGAGGCAACAAAAAGAAAAACAGCAATAACAAAATATGAAAACAGGTAACTACAGATTGATTCATTAAACGAACCTCGGACCACCACAAAAACCGAATAAATCAGAAATATAAAGATATCTCATAGATAATTTATTCATAGTAAGTAGCCATTTTTGTTAATCGCTTATAGCATAGTCTCACCCAAATCTAAAAGTGTGATAGTGAAAGAAAGCACTTCATCAACGTGCTAACATGAGATAACATTCCATGGAGGTTACATTTCGACGATTTCGTCTTTATAAAACAAAATACATGTATCAAAAAGAAAATGTGTATTAAATTTGAATGTTGACACTCATATCAATCTGCCGGATGTAGAATTTTACATAGAAAAACTATATGGCTCTAATTCAAAACTGTCCTATTTCTTTTGCATAGCACAGACAGGGCTAATTATTACAAAATAATGTGGAAATGAACTTAAGATTAATTTTCAAATTTATAATTTTCATTTCCACAAATTTGTCTTGTTTTCTAATAAAAACGGTAATAAGGACGTATCTATCCGTGTTTAAAAACCTCGCCAGTTCCGTGGTTAAAGAAGCTTCACTAAAAACAAAGACTTGTTATTCAATTTTCTTCTTTTTTGTTTGTTATAAATGAAAAAAAAACTATATAGAATTTATTTAGTTTTATAGTAATTGTACAAGTTCTTGGTACAGTTATTTCGTCACAGAATCTATCGTACCTCGGAAATGGCGGTGTTGAATCAGGATTTGTTTGTTAGCAAAAGTTAAATTTTCGATGTGGCCATACTCCTTTTTTTGTATGATTCATTCTAATTCTATCAAGTCAGAGTTTTGTGTAGTTTACTATATGTCTGTAATTTACTAATTGTTGAAGGCCCTAAATGGGCATATAGTTGCTTACATAACCTTCATTAGGTCTCCAAATGGTATTTTGTCTCATTAAAAATCATATCACATCTCCTTATTTCATATAATCCTGAAAGTATAAGGTAACAACTAGAGAGTAAAAATTATGTCAACACATGTTACATAATGTTGAAAAGACATAACATCTTACAATAAATGAACTTACCAAGAATTGAAATCTATCAAATATAATACATAAACTGACAACTAGAGAAGAAAAGTCAAATTAAGGTAGATAGGGTGTCTTTCTCCATCTTGGATTTTGAAATACCAGAAAACAATCGGTCTAGATCTTTAATAGAATGTGCAAATTTTGAGTAGGTAATTCATGTGTAAGAATTTTCATTTCAATATAGAAAATGACATGTTTTATCATATTTATAGTTGTATTTTACAAAAAACAGAAAACTTTTGTTTGATTCAATTTTTTCCAACTTTGCCACATAAGGGGAGGCAACTCAAATGTAAGGGCAGATAATTCAGATAAAGGTACTTTTATAATAGAATGTGTTAGGAATTTACCTATTTTATTATGTAGCAAGAAAACGGGTCCGGTGACCCCATTTTTTCTTTTTCTTATCTGAAAGCATACTATTAAAGCTATCTTCTCATATTTTATCTCAAAATTCTATGGTGTAGTTTTCATTTTATGGCAGAAAATTGGGTTTTCCATGCATAGTCTATACAAAATCTGTCAATTTTGAACAACCTGTAGCGTGAAAATAAGCCCCGTGACCCATTCTTTTTATTATTTTTTTTTAAAAAGCATGATATAAACTACATTTTGGCAAATTATTAAAAAAATCTATGGATTATAATTTAGACACCCCAACTACCTTAAGTTGCCGTAAAAGGTTGACAAGGTCTCATCACAAAGGTTAGTAGCTTTTGGTGGAAAGATGTCCATTGTTTCTTTTGCTATTAAAAAGAGATGAGGTATAATTTCCAATGAGAAAATAAAATCCATTAAAGTCCAAATGATGTGGATGTAAGCAACCATAGGTCATCTTATGGTCTTAAACAAAGAGCAAAACCCAAACTGTAAAGTCAGTTACAAAAGGCCCCAACATGACAATATGTGACACAATACATACGAGAAAAACCATCTGCCTGATTTATGACAAAATGATTATTAACAATAAATATGACAGAGGGGAACCAGTGACAACCATTGAATTACAGGCTCCTGACTTTGAACTGGCACATAAAGAATGTGGCAGAGTTAAACATGTGTTTGAGCGCTGCACCCTCCCCAAACTTAGACATGGGTGTTACAGTACAATATAAGAACAAAGTGTAAAAATCAGCAGGAAATATCCTACAATGTAGCTATTAAAAAATTGGTACAAAGACAAAATAAACTGTTGAGACAGAGATATGTCTTGCCTTTATGTAATTTTGAAGTTATGCAAATGTTGAAACTAAAACAGCAATATTTTAACATGGTAACTATGCAAAACATTCCAAGTCAATAAACCATGACGGCAGAAAAAGGGCCAAATAACATTCGTAAAAAGGAGCAAAGAAAAAATAAATGCAACTGCAAACCAAACACCATTGACTTATCATAAGTGGTTCCCTTTAAACCAACCAAGACACAAAGTTTTAACATGATTATCATGCAAATGTTTCAGTCAATGTAACATGATGAGGTGGCAGGCCATATAATCTCCATGGAAATGAAATGTTTAAAAAATAATACAACTGCATACCAAATATTACTGACTTACCATTAGTCTTACATCTTAATTTGACCTAATACCAAACTTGAGCATGAACTATGCAGAAGTTTTAGAGTCAATAGACCATGACAATGGGGGCAGAGTAGAATATTTTCCATTGAAATTAGATGTTCCAATGCTTATACAACTAAATACCAATTATCATTGACCTACCATTAGTGGTTCCCTGTAAAACTGACCCATCACAAACTTAAACGAGTAAACTAAGCAAAAGTTGTAAAGCAAATTGACCATGACTAAGGGGGTGGGGCCAACTAATATCCATGGAATTGAGATCTGTCAATGCTAATACAACAGTCACCAAATATCATTGACCTACCACTAGCGGTTCACCTGAAACTGACCTAATCGCAAATGTATACATTGTTGACGTTGCCACAGCCACTTTGTTGAGGCAAGAAAAAAGCAACTAATATAAATCCAAAAAATGCAAAATACGGATCTAAGAGTATTGACAGATACTGACAGCTAGTTCAAAGCCAACTACAACATCAGCAATAAATAAATCTAAGTTCTTCCCGACTAAAGTTTTGCCGTAATCAGGACACATCCGACAAGTTTTAGTGAAAAAATATCATACACAGTTTGAGAAAAGCATGGTCTTGGTTAATGCCAAAATATAAGTAAATAAGTGTCGACAGGATGTAGGACCATGAAGTTTTCATATCTGTATAGCAATACATATTTAGTTTCAAATTAACCTAAAAATGTGATGTCCATCACAGAAAAATAGGACATATTCCATACATTATTGATGTGTCTTCTTCAAAATAGCAGCAGATCTTTTGCCCTTTAAACTATTTATTTCAGCTGCAAAAAGCTGTAGCTACCATATTTCCCCTGTTTTATTATAATTGAACAACAAACTCAATCTAATGATTGTCTTTGATATTCCAAGGCATCAACATGGCCATCTCCAAATGTTGCAATTTATGAAAATAACACTTGCACAAAAGTACAAAACAATCATGTACCGGTAACCTCCCTGTATTTACCTTCCTAATTCCAAGGTAAACTATTACTCCCAATTTTAACCTCTTATATTCAAAGGTAAATGGCCTATTCTCCGAGAGTTAACTTCTAAAATGTCAGGGTATTAATCTGCCAAATATTAACGTTAAACTTTTCAAGATATCAACGGCACCTAATCGAGTTTTGACTTCAACCATTTTTAGGTATCATCATTTACCTCCCTGTGTAAACTTCCAACACAGCAAGGTCTTAACCTGCTTTGGAATTTTAACCTCTAACATTTCAAAGTACAAGTTATGATCTCTAACATGTGTCTAACATTCTGATTTCAATGTACCGGTAATCTGACCTATTATAAAATAACATACACAAACCCCCCCCCCCCCCCCCCAATTTTTTACCTCTAATATTTAATGGTACTCTATCATCCAGAGAAGTTTTCAAAATTTCCATTTCTTTTGTCACTTTCCTATGGTCTTCCTGTAACATTTCATACGATTTCTTTAGCTCCATGATTTCATCATTAGATCGTTTGACGTCTATCATTTTTTGACTGTTTGTTTGATCTAGAGACTTGGTTTTCAAATGGTCACACTCATGCTTCATTTGTTGTCCACCCAATCTACCAATGGCCTGTAAAATATAGGATGATACTTTATGCTAACAACTTAAACATGCATCGCTGCATTGAAGACCCATTGGTGGCCTTCGGCTGTTGTCTGCTCTATGGTCGGGTCGTTGTCTCTTTGACACATTCCCCATTTCCATTCTCAATTTTATTATGCAACAAATATTTGACAACTATCTAACAGAGATCAAATGACGTATATATAAGCAATTATAGATCACAGTACAGCTTTCAACAATGACCAGAACCAATACCATATAGTAACCTATTAAAGGCCACAACAGGCAAAATGTAACAGCCCGATTCATAATCAAAACAATAAATGAAAAAAACAAATATGATAGTCAGTAACCAATAACAACCACTGAATTACAGACTCCTGACTTTGGACAGGCATTTACATAATTTGGAGGGCTAATCATTTTTGTAGGCGCTCAACCCTCCCCATGACCTGGGACAGTAGTGTTATGAACGGCACAACATGATCAAAGAGCTGGATAGCTCTGAGGGAAACGATAGCCATTGTTTTCATTGATATAATTATTCATTCCAAAAAAATAATTAAACTTCACATGTATTTGCTATATGATTCAATCGAAATATGGTTTTTTAATTATCAAAAAATAACATAAAAATAGTCAATCTGCTTGGTACAGATCTATAATACAAAGGAACAATACAATTCTTGTGTGTTTCAGTTTTTGTTAGAAACATTAATCTCATTCTTGGAAATTTATATTCAATCATTTCAAAAGTATTCCTTGTGAATTTTATGGCCCAAAATGTTACAAGACTGCTTCGTCGTCAATGGTCGAAGTCAAAGAAACTCCTCCAAAAAGAAAAAAAAAATAATAAATGAGGGTAGATTATGTTGTCAAGAAAGTGTGATGACAAATACTTTCTATCAAGTATGAAATTAAAGCTTTTTAGAAATTGGCCACTAAGTTACAAAAATTAGCGTGTTTAGTACAGACATGTAGACTATTTGACCCCAGAGTCACATGTGACAGGGGTCAACAAAACTTATCCTTAACCTTCATGATGAACTTATATATATGAGCCTTTCTTTTCTATAAATGTTGATTTTCTTATGCTTTATCAAATTATTGAGTGATAAAAATATATTACCTCCAAGATCTTTTTTATGTAGGATAAACTAAAGGTTGTCAAATTTTACCTCAATTATCTGAACCTTAAAAGTAAATTTTAAGACAATGACTTTAATTATTGGACCATTTAATATAACAAAAATTGTTAAGGAACCACTTGTTACTTCTACAATTGCTGCTGTCAGTTTGTTGCTGACTTTCAAAAAGTAAGGTTTCTCAATGACAAACATACCACGTTCCGATATATAATTTATATGTAGTAGTGTTAGTGCATTTCTTGAAAAGTACATAATTACTGTTAATTTATTGTAAAACAGTTGAATCATCGTCGATTGTGTATTGTGTATTGACTGCAGGAACATAATCTGATTGAAATTGTTTCATTTCAGAATGACTCTCACATTTACATAATCATGATAATAGAGCACAGTGGACTATTATTTTTGAAAAAAATGCTCTTAATAAACATGTAACTAAATGTTTTACAGTTCATTTCTGCATATATACATAGACAAAATAATTGATCAGCACTTATTTTTGAACTCGTCTGAGACATTGCTGACATAAACCTATGATATAAGTTTCATAAAAATCTGGCAAGAATTGTACACATGAGAGATCTAATGATGCAATTATCCATATAATTAATGTTTCCAAGTGGCATAATCCTTTAAAAAATATCTAATCGGCACTGATTTTCGAACTTTTCCGAGACATTGCTGATGTAAACCTATGATATAAGTTTCATAAAAATCTGGCAAGTATTGTACACATGAGAGCGCTAATGATGCAATTTTCTATACAATTAATGTTTAAAAGGGGCATAACTCTTTTAATAATAGTTCATTGGCACTGATTCTCAAACTCGCCCAAGTCATTGCTAATATAAACCTATGATATAAGTTTCATAAAAATCTGCCAAGGATTGTACATGTGAGAGCGCTAACAAGACCGAATGGACGAACGGATGAAACGACGGACGCCCGGTATTTCTATGTCCCCCCGCAACGTGTTGCACGGGGGACAATTAATCAAATTTAAAGAGCAATAATTGTCTTTTCCTAGATTTAGTTATTTAAGTTACACAAGGACACTCTATACCAGAAATTTACGGTAAAGGCATGATTTTTCATTCCCTATTGTTTTGTTTTGTTTGGACAGTGATGTTCCTTGGGCCCTTCTTAAAGTGTTTAAATATCCATACTCCTTGCATATGCCCGTGTTTGTAGTGAACTTATAGATTTCAATGAACGCAATCTTTGTATAACTAGTAAATTACTAAGTCAGGGATTTCGCTACCATAAATACTTAAAATCATCACTAAAATGTTTTATGGATGCAAAGATTTGGTTTAGAAGTAAAGCTGTACCCATGGAAATGTTTTAAACAATTGGGATATCTCATCCTAATTTTTTATGGTGATGTACGTTGTTTATTGAGCATGTACATTAAGATTCGATCCATGTAGTTTTATTGATCATTTGAATAAATTATTCTAATAGGTTATCAATTTAACACTGTAATCAGATGTTTGAATATTGTGTTAATTGGTACTAACATTGATTTTCTTATCAATAAAAAATTTAAAAAAAAACTAGATATGTATTGATTAACAGTTATGAACACTTACAATCCTACAAATTCTCGATACTACTTTTCTGGCAATGCACCAGATATTTTTGTTTTCTCATTTTTGTCGAGCCTTCGACTTTAGTCGAAAATGCGAGACATAGCGATCCTACATTCCGTCGTCGTCGTCGTCGGCGGCGTCCACAAATATTCACTCTGTGGTTAAAGTTTTTGAAATTTTAATAACTTTCTTAAACTATCCTGGATTTGTACCAAACTTGGACAGAAGCTTGTTTATGATCATAAGATAGTATCCAGAAGTAAATTTTGTAAAAATAAAATTCCATGTTTTCCGTATATTACTTATAAATGGACTTAGTTTTTCTGCCGGGAAATATTACATTCACTCTGTGGTTAAAGTTTTTAAAATTTTAATAACTTTCTTAAACTATCCTGGGTTTGTACCAAACTTGGACAGAAGCTTGTTTATGATCATAAGATAGTATCTAGAAGTAAATTTTGTAAAAAAAATAAATCCATTTTTTCCTTATTTTACTTTTAAATGGACTTAGATTTTCTGCCAGGAAACAACATATTCACTCTGTGGTTAAAGTTTTTAAAATTTTAATAACTTTCTTATACTATTTTGGATTTGTACCAAACTTGGACAGAAGCTTGTTTATGATCAAATGCTAGTATCTAGAAGGAAATTTTGTTTTCTTCCAGTTAACATTACATTCAGTCTGCAGTTAAAGTTTTTAAACATTTATTAGATTCATAAACTATCCTGGATTTTTACCAAACTTGGACAGAAGCTTCTTTCAATCAAAAGATAGTATCAAGAGGAATATTTTTATTGATTTACTTCCTCATTTTTGTTGAGCCTGCGATTAACAGAAAAAGTAGGCGAAACACTGGGTTCCGCGGAACCCTTACGAATTTTTGTTAATAATGTCCTTACACTAAATCCATTAGATGGGTATACATGATATACACCCTGATTGATATTTTAGTGTTTTCATTAGTTCTTATAGGCTTTGAACTTTGTTTCAGTAACTGAGTACTCTCAGATCAGTAATGTGTGTCATAAGTCTTTTTGTTAATTGTTTTTTGCTTTGTATTCATTAAAAATTTCAAATTTATTGAGTCAAGTCCTATTTAACTGATTTTTACAGTTTTTATGTCCCCGCCGAAACAGAGGGGGCATTAAGTTTTACCCTTGTTCGTCTGTCTGTACGTACGTACATCCCAAAATTGGTTTCCGTTCTCTAACTTTGCCTCAACCAAATGTTATCAAATTTATACACAATGCTTATTACTACAAAACACAGATCAAGTTTGAATTTTGGTGGCGTCACTTTAACCGTTCTAGAGTTATGCCCCTTTATAAATGGAAAAATTGCAAAAATTTTCATTTCTGTTCTCTTACTTAAGTTTGCCTCAACCAAATGTTATGAAACTTATACACAATGCTTATTACCACAATACACAGATCAAGTTTGAATTTTGGTGGCGTCACTTTTACTGTTCTAGAGTTATGCCCTTTACAAATGGAAAAATTGCTAAATTTTTCATTTTTTTTCTAAAAATATCAATGATGTCATTGTTCAAGTAATTTTTAAAATTGGAGTTATCTTCCTTTGTCCATGATTATAGTTGAATCAACTACAATCAATGCTTTATACAATGCAATGTTTAATTTTGCCTTCCACTGATAAAACACAGATCAAGTTGAATTTGGATAGTGAAACTTTAACCATTATTGAATTATGCCCCTTTATAAATCGAAAAATTGCAAAATTTTAGTTTCCGTTCTGTTATTTAAGTTTGCCCCAACCAAACATGAAACCTATACACAATACTTATTACCACAAAACTAAGATCATGTACAAATTTGGGTAGCGTCACTTTTATTGTTCTTGAGTTATGTCCCTTTATAATGTTGTATGCAAGCAGGGGCATCATCTGTGTCCATGGGGACACATTCTCCATTTATTTCTTATGTTGTGCTGTTACAGCCAGAAATATGGAGGGTTGGGCGGCTGAAAACATGTTTAACCTCACCACATTCTGTATGTGCCTGTTCCATGTCCGGAGCCTAAAATTAAACGGATGTCATTTGCTGCTGTATATCATATTTATTTTTCGTTTATTGTCTTGTTCATTAATCAAGCCGTCGGTTTTCTCGTTTGGGTTGTTTTACATAATGTCAGGGCCTTTTATAGCTTGCTATGAGGGATGGTTTTTGCTCACTGTTGAAGGCCTTATGGTGACCCTTAGTTTGCTAAAATCTGTCATTTGGTCTCTGGTAGATGGTTGTAAATTCATTGACAATCATACCACATCTTCTTATTTTTATATTGAACATCCAAACTTGTGAATAATTACCTCAAGTCGATCTTAAAGAAATGTTTTACTCAAATCAGTTTTTGGAAAAGAAAAGTAGGAAATTGTGTATCAATTTATGAAACAAAATTACTATACACACATAAAAGCAAGAGTGCACAAAGTCATTCCGAAATGTCTTTTCTGTTTAAATGATCATGCTTGAACTTTTTAAATTTAGCAGTGCAAAGTAAACACTGTTTTCAAGTCCTAAAGGGCACATACTTGTGCATTCTACTTGTTAAGGATGGCTATTACTTCATGTACTTTTGTATAATTCTTGTAAACATTCTGTTATTTAGAGGCATAATCAACAGTATGGTAAATTTGAAATTGGCAATTATTACTTCTATCTTTTATAACATACATATGAACTTTTGAAGATCTCAATTTGGCTTATAGTGCTGACGACATTTTTACAGGTTTAAATTTCCACAATGTTTGTGTGTGCATGTTTTTTTTTTCTAAAGATAGTTTCATACCCCTTCTTTTTTTTCTTACAGTGTATCATGAACTTAAAAGCCTTCAATATTTTGTTTAAATAGCAGAATTCATGTACTTTTCTTTATTGCAAAGAAAAATAGAATACCAGCAAGAGTTTAACTGACTGACTGTGTTGAAACATATACACATTTATCAGATATGTTGTAAAGGAGTTGTGATGCAAAAACTGTGATTATCCAATTATGTTATAACTAAATGACGACAATATCAAGATCAGTTACACTGAAATCTCTTGTTATCCATTAATCCATATAAGTGTAACTGTAACAAGATTGCCTTGCTGTCTCCATTAAAGATGGAAGTAGAAACAAAAAATTGTTGATTTTCACATAAAGTAACTAATATCATATAAGAAAGCATGATTTGACTGTTTAATAAAATGCTTCGCTGAGCGCAGCCTGATACGACCGCAAACGAACCCTGAACAGTTTGGGCAAATTTGGACACAATATTTAAGGGCATACGATAAAGTACTTTAAGTAGCAGGGGCAGATAATAACGTTTTCAAAACTTTTTGTGTTGTTTTCGCGACGTTGTTAATCAGAACGTTGTAATTTCGCGATGTTTCTAATAAGAATGATTATATTTCGCGACGTCGCTTTAGATGTATTCGCATTTGCGGAAATCCACGGACGTCATAATCCTGATTGCGCGAATTTGAAAAAAGTACCTGCAATGAAAAACGGCCAAATCACGAGAATTGTTATATTTATTCATTAATAAGGAAGTCAACAATATTATCTTCGAATGGGAAAAAAATCAAATCCACATTCTTAATTTTGTATGTCTGTTATTTCATATAGGAAATGAATAAGAGATATGAAAAACATAAGACGCCGATGAGAGAGAAACCCAACTACACAAAAAAAAAAAACATAAGTAATTTATATAGTAACTTCACCATTTGGCTAACTCTAAATTTGTAATGAGAATTGTACAGAAAAATTTAACAGAGACTATCAACAAAATGACAAAAAAACGTAATAAATAATGAGAGCGCATCTTACTGTTCCTGACTTTGAAAAGGTACATTAAAGAGTTTAACTGCATTTTTAGAATTTAACTCGTGGAATATATAAGTGTATGAAGAAGAATTGTCAGTTAAAATGACTCAGTTTTAAGCCCCGTATTATAGACCAAAAACAAAAACGCACCCCTTGATGTGCTAAGCATATCTTCTATGTACATATTGAGAGAGAAAAATCTGCACACAGGAATTAGGTATTTGACAGACCAGAGTTGCAACTCACTGATGTTAAGTTACTGACCAAATACGAAGTCTTTTTGTAAAGTAGTTTCTCAGATAAGAAACAAAATATTTGTTGGACCGGACAAACAATGTGGTTGCACTCACTCCTAGATTGAAGGTATAATACAGACAAGTAATTCAATGATTATATGTACCGTAATAAAAAAAAATATCCTGAAGACAAGCTTAGGTAACTAATCTATTGATACAGAATCATTAAATTTCATGCTCTAATATCAACTGCTGTATGAAATGTTATACTACACTGTAATGGACTAAGCTGTCCCGATTTAATGTGGGTATGATTTTGTGTTCATGTAATGCCTATAGAGTAGGTCGTCAGTTTTCTTGTTTGAATTATTTCACATTTTCATGTCGGGGCTTTTTCAAGCTGACAGTACGGTGTGGCTTTTTCTTTTTCTTTTTTTTTTGTGTTGAAGGCCGTAGGGTGACCTTTAGTAGTGTTTATCTTCGTCATTTGAACTATGGTTGATAGTAGTCTCTTTTGCAATCATACCAAATGTCCTTATTTTTATATCATCCCCTTACTTTATAATTGTTGCACATTTTGTCATGTCGGGATCCTTTTGAATAATTAAAACTATGTTCAAGCTGTGTTGTCTACATGAATTGTATGACTAATATCGGACAGAGATGCAAATTAATTTTTTTATTATATATATCTGTTTTGTTTCCAAACATTTCTATTCTAAAAGTAATTTACTAGAATACTTTTTCTATCCAAGTTTGAATTCGTAACAATTCATAAAGGTTTGGCAAATATGATGCTATTTTACGAGGAGCCAGCTTTATTAATTTTCATGATTAATATCATTGGTTTAAAAAAAAAACACCTTGGCTCTACCACTGAAATTGACAACATAGTAGTGAACGGCGGGAAAGATTTCACGACGTTGTTGCGAATAAAACTTATTCCAATTTAGTTTGGAGCCTTATTGGCAAACGTACCGTTTGCCAATAAAAATTAAGGTTTATTGCTTTTATTGAAAAAACAAGCACATGGACCCCCAGTTTTTTCTTTTGCAATCAATCAGATTCTGTTTCAAGAACGCTCCGCCAAAATTTTAAGAAAAAATCAACAATAGAATTTATTCTGCACTTCTGTGTAGACGCAAAAATATTTTCAACTTCTTTATTTCACTTGTATTAAAAGAATTTAGGATATAATTATTTATTTCAACCGTTAACTTGTTACAGCATGCTGATGCCATGGATCAAGGGAACATTTTACAAAAAACCCGGTTAAATTGTGACTGTTCATTCAAAAGTATTGGTACTTTCCTTAAAAGTCCTTATTTATGAAATTTCAGGGTTTTTCCTTCAAATATGCAAATTTCGAACCAAATTATCTCAAAAAGTAAGTCATGCAGGTATATTTTTCTTTGCATATTTCAAAAGTACACATCGAAATTGACCTTCTACCAAAATTTCAAGAAAAAATCAACGAGGGATCTCTACTGTATCGTATGCCCTTAAGCTTGATACTGTCTGAATTTGGATTGTGATCAAATTTTTGACATAATATAGGTTTCTGACACAAAATAAATGTGATCAAAGATCTAACAAATCTATTGCGCAATACTGTGCAATTGAAGATTTCTTCTTGAAACTTTTCAAAAATTCGAAATTTGAAAAATTTTGAAAATAATTCCTAAACTATTGGCCCCATAACCCCTAAAATGAATACCAACCTTCTACTTGTGGTATTAAACATTGTGGTACAATTTCAGAGCAATCAAAATACTTATACACAAGTTATTATCCTGAAACTAGAAAAATGCTTGTTTATGGGACCCTTTGGGGCCCCTAATTCCTAAACGGTTGGGACCATCATCCTTAAAATCAATCCCAAACTTCCTTTTGTGTTATTGAACCTTCTTAAAAAATTTCATAGAGATCCATTCACTTAAACTAAAGTTATTGTCCGGAAACCAATGTGTCTTCCGACGACGACGACATCATACCATTATACGATCCCAAAAAATTTTTTGCGGTCGTATAAAAACCTTACAGTGAGTTTTTTTTAATATTTTAAAAAGTGTGGGAAATCCCCTTTGATATTAATGTGTTTAATTTTATTGAAAATTAAGTAGCTGTTTGACCTCCTTTTTGACCATTTAAATCCATCTTAAAGCAAAATTCATAAGAAAAGTTGGTGATAGATTATTAAAATTGTGTTTTACGCTGTCTGCAAATCAATTATAACAAAGGATGAACATGATGAAGTTTCATTTTATGCCTTAAATTCTTAATTGTGTCCCGGGTTTTGTTGTCTATGTAAAATATTGCCTCCCTAAAAATCATCTACATATTTTGGTGGAATGAGGTGGAAGATCTTTTAAAGTTTACAGGACATACTTTCAGATTAATAAATCAAAAACTGACGGAATAATTTTCATAAATGTGTTGATGCCATGTTAAATTGAGTTAGATTTAATAATTATTTCCAAATGTCTTCCACCAGGTGATTTATATTCAGCTAAATAAAAATTGATATATACATACACCAGTTATATCAGTCCATGCTGTGTTGAAGAAAGTAGCGTCTATTTTGCCACCCTCCAGATGAGCTAGGTAATTTTTGTAGTATTTTATCCTTTCTAAATCTGCAGCTTGTGTTGTTTCCGTTGCAGAAGGTAAACGGTCAAATCCACAGAGGGGAGGGATCATTGGAGTCAAATTCCTCAGTAATGTTGTCATCAAAGTCACATCAAATGTTTTAGAATCTGGAACATCTGGAAAATAAATCTGATACTAAAAAGTCATATCAAAAGTTTTAGAAACTTGAACATATGGAAAATAAATCTGATACTAAAAAATCACATCGTAAGTAAGATCGAATCTGGAACACATGGAACAAAAAATAATAAGGGTAAACATAATTATAAATAGAATATTCTAACTGAAGAATTTTAAGTTAATTCATTAATTAAATTCTGGAAGATCTATGCCAGAGATTCAGAGAAATCTGATTTGTACAGTTGGTTTTAATGTGGTACTGTATAATCACTGTCCCGGGGTAACAGTTGCTGACAAACATGTTTAACCCCAACACAAGCCAGGAGCAGCCAGAGGTCAATTGATTTGTCATTTGTGGTTATCTTTCTTATTATATGCCTACATATCGTTGCTCCCTTTCAGAACAATAGGTCTTTCATTTGAAGAAACAACCCGGATGAGATTATGTTTCAATGAAATGCATTTAACTCATTTGTGTCCAATTGAGGCTGTACTGTAAAGTTTCATATGGCACCCCATTAAATAATATCAATAAGTTATATCATTTGCTACTGACCCCCTACAGATCCATAGAGAAATAGTAAAATCCAAAGGGGTGAGGCCAAAGGCCGAATCCCTATGGATTTTACTAATCCTCTATGGATCCGTAGAGGATGACCTGGTCAGTAGTGAATTGTAAAAGGAATTTATCGCACACAGGACTTCTTCGTATTACTAAGTATTCTTTACCTAATTCTTGATATGAAAATGCAAGGATGTTTTCTACATTTTTTTTTCTTCTTATTTCTTTAGCCAGAAAATCAGAAGAAACAATTGCCTCGTCTGCCTCAACGGTACAGGTAGTTACGGTTCTGCGGGTCAGTAGTGAACTGCATAAGGAATTTATCGCACACTGAACTTTACCTTCCAAGTTTTGTGCAAAAATAAACAATGAAATACTATAACATTGATGGATGACATCAACATTAATAGTAGACGTGACGTCATGAACATGAACATGAAATCGACTGACCCCATACAGATCCATAGGGGGTCACAACGTGACGGCATTAAAACCAATCATTACGTCACTAATTTACCCGAGGTATGGTGGGGATACCATATGGAACTCTTGCCCCAATTTTTCATCTTTAATATGTTTTAAAGTTTTAAGATAGAAACAATCCTTTCCACCATTTACTTGACTCCCTCTGTGAAGCTATTAAACATCCTACACAACTTAGTGCTCGACAGAAATATCAAAAACATCATTAACACACAATTTTAACTTCAAACACAAATAATGTGTAGTTCTGTGTATGACTAAGACTATCGTAACAACATAGAGCATTACTCTATATAAAATTATCAATGTAATACATGTACTTTAATAACATATTAAAACAAGTCAAATTTAACCACATCCATGTGTAGGGATATTAAAATCAAAATATGAAATTAATTCACATCTAATTTAAAATTGTACTGTGACCTAGGAAATTATATGTCTGGTTAATTTTGTGTTCCATATACAATAGACGATGTTGTGCTGTCTTTTTATATATCTTTCACACAATCCAATTATCGAATATTCTCAATATATATATATATGGGAACAATCAAATAATTTAAGGATGTTGGTTCCTCTTGTTTTTGACTTTTTGTTAAGATATTCTGAATCCTCTTGTTTTATCTATGTAGTGCCATTGACAAATTTGCCCGCTTACCACTACTTTTCTTTTCATAATTTTATTATATATAGTTTGAAAAGCCATATCTGAAAATCTTATAAACTCCTTGATTTTTTTTCATAGTTTTTGAAAGAAAAAAGGTGCCAATGTTAAATGTATGAAAAAATCTAGAGAGATTCATTTCCCGCCAAATTTTCAGGGGCTTAATTCTCAAAAACATGGACAAGAAACCTTCATTTTTTTCTGCTTATTTATATACTATCAATTTATAACAGTTTTTTAAACAGCTTGTTATTTTGAAACAGAGTAGCTAACATCCTTAAAGAGGAAAGCTATAATATTTTATCCTAATTCTCAGATTTTTAAAGAAAAAATATTTTTGTCAGACATTAACGAGAGTGATTTTTAATTTTCATACACTGTAATATTAAAGTTATGTTTTTTTTTTATGTAAATGCAGTTTTATTCGAATGATATAACATGCATGACATGAGCAGTACCAATTGTACTGCACCATTCACACATTTTGAAAATAAAGCCTCTTCAGTGATGCTCAAGGCCAAAAGATTTGAAAATCCAAAACTTTATACAAACATTGAAGCCATGATAAAACTAATAAAATGCTCCACAGGGCGCAGCTTGATACGACCGCAGAGGTCGAACCCTGAAACAGTTGGGGCAAGTATGGACACAACATTCAAGCTTGATACAGCTCTGAATTTGGATTGTGATTAAATATTTGACACAGCATAGGTTTCTGACACAGAATGAATGTGGTCTAAGAACTTAAAAATTTTAAATTGGACATTCAACTATTATGGTCCAATATCCAAAATCTAAATACATGGTTAGATTCAGCATATCAAAGAACCCCAAGAATTCAATTTTTGATGAAATCAAACAAAGTTTAATTTTGGACCCTTTTGACCTCAATGTGGACTAAGTTGATAATGGGGCCCAAAAATCAAAAATCTAAATACATGGTTAGATTCAGCATATCAAAGAACCCCATATATTCAATTTTTGTTGAAATCAAACAAAGTTTAATTTTGGACCCCGATTTGGACCAACTTGAAAACTGGGCCCATAATCAAAAATCTAAATACATGTTTAGATTCAGCATATCAAAGAATCCTAAGAATTCAATTTTTGTTAAAATCAAACTAAATTTAATTTTTGACCCTTTGGACCTTAATGTAGACCAATTTGAAAACAGAACCAAAAATTAAGAATCTAAATACACGGTTAGATTCGGCATATCAAAGAACCCCAATAATTCAATTTTTGATGAAATCAAACAAAGTTTAATTTTGGACCCTTTGGACCAATTTAAAAACGGGGCCCAAAATCCAAAAACTTCATACACGGTTAAAATCAGCATATTAAAGAACCCCAAGAATTCAAGAATAAAACCCCATTGAAATTGGTCAAGAAATAAGCAATTTATACGAAGTATCTTCTTTTGTACAATACTGTGCAATTGAATATTTCTTGCTATTGCGCAATACTGTACAATTGACAATTTTTTGCTATTGCGCAATATTGTGCTATTGGATATTTCTTGCTATTGCACAATACTGTGCAATTGAAGATTTCTTGCTATTGCGCAATACTGTGCAATTGAAGATTTCTTGCTATTGTGCAATACTGTGCAATTGAAAATATCTTGCTATTGCACAATACTTATTTTATAATAATTTACACATCCTGTTTGGTGTGTATCTCCTACCATATCGTTATTATTTGCTTTTAAATATAAAACAGAAATAACCAACTTAAAATGGAAAATTTTAAAAGAAAAAAAAAAGGAAAAAAAAAAAAATCCCCCCCCCCAAATTTTTTGAACCCCCTTATGATTCATCACCCCCAAACTCAATCCCAGCTTTCCCTTTGTGGTATGGTACCTTGCAGTACAATTTCAGAGAGATCCATACACTTGAACACAAGTTATTGTCTGGAAACTAGAAAAATGCTTATTTTTGGCCCCTTTTTGGCCCCTTATTCCTAAACGTTTTGGGCAATTACCCCCAAAATCAATCCCAGCATTCCCTGTGTGATATGGAACCTTGTGGTACAATTTCAGAGAGATCCATACACTTGAACACAAGTTATTGTCTGGAAACTAGAAAAATGCTTATTTTTGGCCCCTTTTTGGCCCCTTATTCCTAAACGTTTTGGGCAATTACCCCCAAACTCAATTCCAGCTTTCCCTTTGTGATATGGAACCTTGTAGTACAATTTCAGAAAGATCCATACACTTACACACAAGTTATTGTCATGAAACTAAAAAAATGCTTGTTTTTTGCCCCTTTTTTGGCCCCTAATTCCTAATATTTTGAGGCAATTACCCCCAAAATTAATCCCAGCATTCCCTGTGTGATATGGAACATTGTGGTACAATGTCAGAGAGATCCATACACTAACACACAAGTTATGTCTGGAAGTTACAAAAATGCTTATTTTTGGCCCCTTTTTGGCCCCTAATTCCTTAACTGTTGGTACCATAACCCCCAAAATCAATCCCAACCTTCCTTTTGTGGTATTGAACCTTATGGTAAAATTTCATAGAGATCCATTCACTTATTCTAAAGTTAGAGTGCGAAAACCAATGTGTCTTCGGACGACGCCGGACGACGACGACGACGACGACAACGCCAACGTCATACCAATATACGACCAAAAAATTTTCAATTTTTGCGGTTGTATAAAAAGGATCTAACGTAAAGCCAAATCAGGACAAGGAATCAGACCTTGTCATGTTTGTGATAACTAGACAGTGATTACAAGTGATTACATCTAAATAAGTAAGTTTTATTCTATTTAATTCCATTCACCTTATTTACATATATACATTATAATTGAGCTGTTTGACGTGGTTTTAACTAAATGAATTTGAATCTCACACTTTATTGTAATCAATAAAATGGGAAACTAATTTCTGCAAAATCTTTAAAACAATATTAATTTGACAGTATATAAGACAGAAAATGCATATTTTAAGGTTTTTCATGCTGTATAATACACCTTGTGGTGTCAGGATAGCTTCAGTTGGTCTTTTGTTTGGTCAATCCTGACACCCCTTGTGTCATAATGCAAGAAAAACGTTAACATACTAGTAGTTGTTGAAGACAGTCCTTTGGTCTTTGGTGGATAAGAGTATCATTGGCAATCCTACCACATGGTGACTAATTTCCGTGATCAATTTACTTTTACCACTTTTTTGAGTGGTAAAAAAACCAATATAAATCTTCATGAATCTGATAAACTTGAAACTTCCCTTATATAAATACATATACATATTCATTGTTTATTTAATGGATGGAATATAAGATATTATTTCGATTAATGTAAAAAAAATTAATTTAAAGTGAATATGACATTTGCACTAATTTGATACTTATAAGTCTGGACAAAAATTCTTTTTGAAAGCTCTCAAGGTACACATTAAACTGGGGTGTCCATGTTTCAGTCAAATAATTATGTGTTTATGTCAAACTCTGTTCAACAATTCTTAAGACTAATCCTTATAGAGGATATCACATTACATAATATATCAAAAGATCACCTCAAGATCTGTCATAAAGGTTTAAATCAAGGTAACAAGCTGTTATTTTCTTGAAATAAAAAAAACTAGAGGCTCTCAAGAGAATGTGTCGCTCACCTGATTCTACTTTGGCTTTGGAAATCATGTAAAAATAGATTAAAATCAGATACTCTAATAATAATTGAGGCCAAATTTGGTTTAATATTGGCCCCGTAATTTAATCAAAAGCAGAAGACTTTTGTAAAGTTTACAGAAATTACCAATAAATTCATTGAAATTGTAGAAAATGACTTTATAAGGAAAATAACTCCAACAAGATGTCAATTGACAATTTTGCTCATGTAGATCTTCTTTTCTTGATATTTTTGCAGTTTACAGTATATCTCAATCTATAAAGATACATGTATTAAGGTCTTCATCAGCACCTCATAAGGAACATTTATGCCATGTTTGTATGTATTTCCCATAGGTGTCTTATGTTAAACTAAGTCACCTGCTGGCGGCCATCTTGGATGATGGATCGGCTACAAAGTAACAACACTTGGTCAGCACCTCATTAGGAACATTCATGCCATGTTTGGTTTCATTCTATTCAGCGGTTCTCTAGAAGAAAACATTTGTATGTATTTCCCATTGGGTCCTATGTTAAACTTACTCCCCCTGCTGGCAGCCATCTTGGACGACAAATCAGCTACAAAGTAACAACACTTGGTCAGCACCTCAAAAGAAACATTCATACCATGTTTGGTTTTAGCTGTTTTCTAGAAGAAGACATTTGTATATATTTCCAATAGGGTCCTTTGTTAAACTAAGTCCCCTGTTGGCGGCCATCTTGGATGATGGATTTGCTACAAAGTAACAACACTTGGTCAGCACCTCATTAGGAACATTCATGCCATGTCTGGTTTCATTATATTCAGTGGTTCTCTAGAAGAAAACATTTGTATGTATTTCCCATTGGGTCCTATGTTAAACTTACTCCCCCTGCTGGCAGCCATCTTGGACAACAAATCAGCTACAAAGTAACAACACTTGGTCAGCACCTCAAAAGAAACATTCATACCATGTTTGGTTTTAGCTGTTTTCTAGAAGAAGACATTTGTATATATTTCCAATAGGGTCCTTTGTTAAACTAAGTCCCCTGTTGGCAGCCATCTAGGTTGATGGATTTGCTACAAAGTAACAACACTTGGTCTGCACCTCATAAGGAACATTCATGCCATGTTTGGTTTCATTCCATTCATTTAGTGGTTCTTCAAAAGAAGACTTTTGTATGTATTTCACATAGGGTCCTTTGTTAAACTAAGTTCCCCGCTGGCAGCCATCTTGGATGATTGATTGACTATAAAGTAACAACACTTGGTCAGCACCTCATAAGGAACATTCATGCCATGTTTGGTTTCATTCTATTCAGTGGTTCTCTAAAAGAAGACATGTGTATGTATTGTCCATAGGGTCCTTTGTTAAACTAAGTTCCCCGCTGGCAGCCATCTTGGATGATTGATTGGCTACAAAGTAACAACACTTGGCCAGCACCTCATTAGGAACATTCATGCCATCTTTGGTTTCATTCCATTCTGTGGTTCTCTAAAAGAAAACATTTGTATGTATTTCCCGTAGGGTCCTATGTTAAACGAAGTCCTCCGCTGGCGGCTATCTTGGATGATGGATCGCCTACAAAGTTACAACACTTGGTCAGCACCTCATAAGGAACATTCATGCCATGTTTGGTTTCATTCCATTCAGTGGTTCTCTAAAAGAAGACATTTGTATGTATTGTCCATAGGGTCCTATGTAAAACGAAGTCCCCTGCTGACGGCCATCTTAGAAGATAGATCGCCTACAAAGTAACAACACTTGGTCATCACCTCATAAGGAACATTCATGCCATGTTTTATTTCATTCCATTCAGTGGTTCTCTAAAAGAAGACATTTGTATGTATTTCCCATAGGGTCCTATGTTAAACTAAGTCCCTCTCTGGCGGCCATCTTGGATGATGGATCGGCTTCAATGTAACAACACTTGGTCAGCACCTCATAAGGAACATGCATGCCATGTTTGGTTTCATTCTATTCAGTGGTTCTCTAAAAGAAGACATTTGTACAATGTATGTATTGTCCATAGGGTCCTAAGTTAAATGAAGTCCCCTGCTGCCAGCCATCTTGGATGATTGATCGCGTACAAAGTTACAACACTTGGTCAGCACCTCATAATTAGGAACATTCATGCCATGTTTTATTTCATTCCATTCAGTGGTTCTCTAAAAGAAGACATTTGTATGTATTTCCCATACGGTCCTATGTTAAACTAAGCCCCCCCTCTGGCGGCCATCTTGGATGATGGATCAGCTTCAAAGTAACAACACTTGGTCAACACCTCATAAGGAACATCCATGCCATGTTTGGTTTTATTCCATCCGTTGGTTCTCTAAAAGAAGATATTTGTATGTATTGTCCATAGGGTCCTATGTTAAACGAAGTCCCCCCGCTGGCGGCCATCTTGGATGATGGATCGGCTTCAAAGTAACAACACTTGGTCAGCACCTCATAAAGAACATTCATGCCATATTTGGTTTCATTCCATTCAGTGGTTCTCTAGAAGAAGTTCAAAATGTAAAAAGTTAACGACGACGACGGACCCCAAGTGATGAGAAAAGCTCACTTGGCCCTTTGGGCCAGGTGAACTAAAAATCAAGGCATAATAATTTGAATAAACTAGAGGCTCACCTGTCTTCAACAATGAGCGTTTTTGTAAAAATCATCATTAAAGGGCAATAACTCCTATAAAGAGTGGACTGACAATTTCAATGATGCTGATGTAGTTGTAGATCTTATCCTGCTGGTCATTTTTGCATTTTAAAGTTTTTTTATCTATCTATTATAGGTTTCAAGATATTAGGCCAAAACATGGACAAAATCGTCATTTAAGGACAATAACTTGTATAAGGAGTTGACTGACACTTTTGGCCATGTTGACTTTTTTTTAGATCTTGTCTTGATGATCATATTTGCTATCTGAATTTCTATGTATCAATCGAAGCTTTCAAGATAATAGGCACACACAAAAAATAGTAAAAAATTGTCATTTTAGTACAATAACTCCTATAAAAAGCCATCCAATGATTTCAACAATAACGACGTATTTGAAGATCAGGTCTTGCTGATCAATTTTGTTATTTCAAGTTTACATCTAACTATAGTTTTAGGCAAAAATGCAAAAAGATATAAAACCTGTCATTAAAGGGCAATATCTCTAATTGACGATTTCGGAAAAGTTGTCTTATTCTTGTCTAGCTGATCACTTTTGCTATTTAAAGTATATCTATTATAGTTTTCATGGATAATAGACAAAAATGAGAAAATGGTAAAATTCCTCATTTAAGGGCAATAATAAGGCCATGCATGTTAGTTGGCAGGAGGTGTCGTTGGACACAATTTTTTAAACAAGATACCCCAAAGATGATTGTGGCCAGTAGTTTCAGAGGAGAATATTTTTAAAAAATAACAGACGACAAACACCAAGTGAGGAGAAGAGCTCACTTGTAACTTTGGTTCAGAAGAGCTAAATAAAAGTATGTCAGCTGAAACAAAATTATTATATTATTTGTAACTTCTCCTTTCATAAATGAATTCCAAATCCTTTTATAGTACTATAAGCTGAAAACTGACCTCAAAACCAAACATCAATAGTGTATTTATCCAAAGGATGCCAGTTAAAACAAAGCTCATATAAGATCTATGTGTTTTCATTTTACAATTACACACCAAACATCAGCTCAAAATATGTATCTGCAAGAAGGGTTAACAAATGAATAGAAACCTTATAGCGTTAATAAAAACATGGCCGTAACTACTACGAAGAAATTAAGTTATCAATTACAATGTATATCCCATAGTCATTACACTTTATAAATTTAGTGCATCCTAATAAGCTCTTTTCTAGACTTACCTTCATAAGGAACGCTTTATCATGTTTATTATTCAAAGAAAAATATAGGAAGTCAACCAGAACAAAATTATAATGTTATCTGCAACTTCACATTTCACAAAGAAATTGCAAATCCCCTAGCACTTCTGAAAACTGACCTGAAAACCTAATTTCAATCGTGTATCTATCAAAAGTATGTCATTGAAACACAGCTCTTGAACTTTGGCCTATTGACTCCAAAATCATCTGATCACTTTTGCTACCTTATGCTCTCCATCTATACAAGTTTGATTCTAATCAATCAAGGAGAAATAAAGTTACAATGTGAAAACCATTTTTTTCTGAAAGTTTGTTTGTATAGAGACATTGAACTTTGACCCAATGACTCCAAAAACAATAGACTCTTTCCCAATATTCCATCTGTATATGTTTCATTCAATCGGCAAACAAGGGTTTCTCAATTAATAATAGTAAGGATGATTATGTTTTAATTCTAGGCACTACAACATGGTTGGTGGTTGGTAGAAATAAAAGAAAATTGATAATAGAAATAAGATAATATTTGCACTTAATGAACTAGGACATCTTTGGAACAGAAAGTTTGAATATGAATAGTACATGTATATACAGGACAGTTTTGAGAATCATAAAAGGGTATTATAATTTTATTTATTTCTGCACTTACCAGGAAATTTTGGCAACAGAAGGTTCCACTGTGATTGGTTGATTATACGTTTCTTTTTTAAGTCAAGCAATTTGTTATACTCTTTCTTGATTGTCGCATCTAAACTTGCTGGAGCAAATTCATTATCAAAGAAGGTTCTAGCTGCACGAGGAGAAATTCCTGTTAACAACAAACTCATCCGAATGTAGTTGTCTTCCTCTACAGTAAGAGTCGCCATAGTAAATTCTTCTTTATTTCTTTGCTAATTATAGACAGGATTCTACCCAGTAGAAGATTGTCATTCAAACGGTCAAAACCAACTAAAAGTTATGTGGCAAAATTCATGGCTTTCAAGCTGGCATAAATCTTGGTTGTTCTCCCTCTTATGAAGAAAACCATTATGATATCTGGTCTATTTTCTAAAAAAATTAAATTAAAACACAAAATGAATTTAAATGTCTGAACAAGTCAAATGAAATAAACAATTTGATTGGATGCATGTTAGGATATTACTTCCTGTACTGATTTTTCTTCTTCTAGATACTAGTAATATCAAATAACACATTTTAAGTTTATGAATGTCATCATATAAAGGACAAGAACTCCTAATATGGAGCCAATTGGTGGTTCAGTTATATTTACATATGGTAGATCTTGTCAATATATTACTTAAGACATATCAAAATTTGTATAAGAGTCAATTCATGGTTTCAGTTTTCATGGTCATTTTGACTTTTTGTAGATCTTGCTGATTAGTTTTGTAGCTTACAGTGTATGTAAGCCCTCTTTGTTTATACTTTTTGGTTTTGGCTTTACTTTTGTACTTTTGTGCTATCAGTTCTTTTGAATAAAGTTTGGATTTTCAAATGTTTTTGTCTTGTGTATCACTGAAGTGACATTAAGTGTTGAGCACCAGCAAACATGTTTAACTCCATCATATTATATATGTGGCTGTTGCAAGTCCGCTATAGATGCCTATAATTTAGCGCTATTGTTTGTAACTGTATATCATATTCGTTTTTCATTTATAGCTTTGTACATAAATCCGACTGTTGGTTTGAATTGTCTTACACTTGTCATTTTGCTGCCCTTTATATCTTGCTATGGGGTTTAGGATTTTGCTACATGTTGACCTATAATTAATAACTTCAATGGCATTTGTCTTCCTTTTTTTTACATGGTGTTGTCAGTTTGTTTTCAACATAATTAAGTTTAAATAGCTCTTTGGAAAGTCTATTCCTCTCTTTTTTTCTTTTCAACGGCATTTGGTCTCATTTCTCGTTGGCATGCATGCCACATCTTCTTATTTTTAACAGTCTGATTAAAAATCTTATTTCATCAATAACATGTTTGATCATTGACACCATTTTGAGGTGACAATTGACTGTAATATCACAAATATGTATCATTATTTACCATATATATAGTTTCACCAATTAAATTTTGATACCATATTGAATCATAGAAAAATGGGTTTGAACTGACTTCTAAATGACCCGTGAATCAGTAACGAGGAGTACATAAATTGCATGCATGATTAAATTCACATTTCCCGAGGATTACAAGAACAAATTAATATCCCGAGGACAAATTGATTTGTCCCGAAAACATGATTTTACATGGTGTTATACTGCTTAAATTGTTCTTGCAATCCTCAAGAAATCGTGGTACCGGGCCATAGGGGATGGAAAAATCATGTAACAGTTCTTATAGTACCAGCTGTCTTCTGATGAACTTTCCAGTTTTGACCAGGCAAAAGCAACATAGTTTGTAGGGAGCAATGGCATTGGCAGAGACAATAGATAAGTTAACATTTTTCAAAGCTTAATAAAGCTATTATATATATATATATATATAGTTCAACCAAATATCAATTCTGACTGTCAGAGAGCATTTTCAATTATAAAGAAATGTACACTGAATTCTGATCAGAACTTGACAATGATATATTGTGTGACTTGTTATCAAGTAAATGTAACCAAACTGGCAATTGTTCAGAATATGTGCCTAGTGGTGTTGCTTTAAAAGCAGCAAAATAGACCACTGTTGAAAACAATAAAAGTTTACAGTAGAGTATTGATTTTTATATTAACAAATTTGTATAATGTGAAAATGTCTGCATCTATGTCGCGCGTTTCACACGCTTTTTGACATGTCATGTCATGTCATGACATGATTTCTCATTGTCAGAGGTTGGCAAGTATGCTTGTCAGCAAAGCTTTGACACACAGGATCTTTATTTCAATCAGATTGATCGGCATACGATAAACATTCATATAAACAAGCATTCTGAGAGTATTGCATGGCAATACATAGTTACCTACCAGTTAAAAATTCATTGTACTGGAACAAAATGCTAACTTGATCTATAACTTGTCATGGTGTAAAATATATAATAAATATCAAGTCAATATCTTCAAGCATGACGAAAAAAAGTGTGGACAGACAGACAGACAGACAGACAGAGTGCAAACCTAAAGTCCCCTTCAATTTCGTCAATAGGGGACTAATAAGAAGATGTGGTATGAGTGCCAATTAGACAACTCTCAATACATCAAATATCAATCAATATCTTCAAACATGAAGAAAAAAGTGTGGAAAACTGATTTGACAGACAGACAGACAGACAGAGTGCAAACCTAAAGTCCCCTTCAATTTCGTCAATAGGGGACTAATAAGAAGATGTGGTATGAGTGCCAATGAGACAACTCTCCATCCAAGTCACAATGTATAATAAAATGCTCCGCTGGGGCGCAGCTTGATACGACCGCAGAGGTCGAACCCTGAACAGTTGGGGCAAGTCTGGACACAACATTCAAGCTTGATACAGCACTGAATTTGGATTGTAATTAAATATTTGACACAGCATAGGTTTCTGACACAGAATAAATGTGGTCTAAGAACTTAAAAATTTTTAATTTATCTATTCAAACCATATCATTATTATTTGCTTTTATATATAAATCAGAAATAACCAATTTAAAATGGAAAATTTTAAAGAAAAAAAGGGAAAATAATCCCCCCCCCAAATTTTTTGAACCCCCTTATGATTCATCACCCCCAAACTCAATCCCAGCCTTCCCTTTGTGGTATGGTACCTTGCAGTACACATACATGTGATGGACTGTGAAACTAAGATCAGGAGTTTTGGAGATTAGGACTCAGATCAGGATGTTTTTAATCGACATAAATTCTGTCGTAAATGTAACCGTGTTCTGTAGAAATTGTCTGTTAAAGTGTGTTTTCTTCAACTTTCCATCCGAATGTATTATGTTTAAAGTACCTTTGTACTTATAAATTTTCTCTATCTTTTTAAACTTTCAACTTGTTCAATCTAACATTCTTCTTTTTCAGTATGTTCTTTAAATTTTTTAGGTCATATCTTTCTTCCCATTATTCATTGCAATCAGAACATTTCCTTATCTATCTGCAAGTAGATCTTTTAATTTTATCTTTATGCAAGTAGATTTATAATGCATGATATTTAATTTCCATCCTTTTATGATTATTTGTTCAATTTATATTTTATTTATATTCTTTTAAAAATTTACATTATTTAAAGGAAAATAACTTAAAACAGGATAAATCAAGGGAAGTAACCTAACATTCATTTTAAATAAACAAAGTTTTACTACACAACGGCAGTTAGCCTGAGGTAAAAATCGTTTATTACCAGTATGTTTGACACCCAAGGTGACAAGTGAGGCCATATAATTATGCATTTTAATTGATTTACAGGTAAAATATAACTTCAGTAATGTCAGTTACACCAGATATGTTGGGCTGAAATTTTTCATTCATGAAATATTTCATACACAGGATTTTTTTGTCTTCAACTGGAGGTCGGGAGGAGACCCCTGAAAACGGGATTATTGTACTCCCGTCGGGAGGTTCACATGTATGAACTGTACAATTTCAGAGAGATCCATACACTTGAACACAAGTTATTGTCTGGAAACAAGAAAAATGCTTGTTTTTTGGCCCCAAATTCCTAAACATTTAGGGCAATTACCCCCAAACTCAAACCCAGCTTTCCCTTTGTGATATGGAACCTTGCAGTACAATTTCATAAAGATCCATACACTTACACACAAGTTATTGTCCTGAAACTAGAAAAATGCTTGTTTTTTTGCCCCTTTATGGCCCCTAATTCCTCAAATTTCTAGGGAATTATCCCCAAAATCAATCCCAGCCTTCCCTTTGTGGTTTGGTACCTTGCATTAAAATTTCAGAGAGATCCATACACTTGAACACAAGTTATTGTCTGGAAACTAGAAAAATGCTTATTTTTTGCCCCTTTTTGGCATCTTATTCCTAAACGTTGTGGGCAATTACCCCGAAAAATCACTTCCAGTTTTCCCTTTGTGATATGGAACCTTGTAGTACAATTTCATAAAGATCCATACACTTACACACAAGTTACTGTAATGAAACTAGAAAAATGCTTGTTTTTTGCCCCTTTTGGCCCCTAATTCCTAAAATTTGGAGGCAATTACCCCCAAAATCAATCCCAGCATTCCCTTTGTGATATGGAACCTTATGGTACAATGTCAGAGAGATCCATACACTTACACAAAAGTTATTGTCATGAAACTAGAAAAATGCTTGTTTTTTTCCCCTTTTTGGCCCCTAATTCCTAAAATTTGGAGGCAATTACCCCCAAAATCAATCCCAGCATTCCCTTTGTGATATGGAACATTGTGGTACAATGTCAGAGAGATCCATACACTAACACACAAGTTATGTCTGGAAGTTACAAAAATGCTTATTTTTGGCCCCTTTTTGGCCCCTAATTCCTTAACTGTTGGTACCATAACCCCCAAAATTTATCCCCACCTTCCTTTTGTGGTATTGAACCTTATGGTAAAATTTCATAGAGATCCATTCACTTAAACTAAAGTTAGAGTGCGAAAACCAATGTGTATTCGGACGACGACGCCAACGTCATACCAATATACGACCACAAAATTTTTTTGCGGTCGTATAAAAAGTTAACAATTATTGGTCTTCAACACAGAGCCTTGGCTCACACCAAACAGGAAGCTATAAAGGGCCCCAAAATGACTAATGTAAAACAATTCAAACAGGAAAACTAACAGTCTAATCTATGTTAAAAACGAGAAATGAGAAACACCTATGATCCACACCAACCACTGAACAACAGGCTCCTTACTTAGGACAGTTGCATAAAATATGTTCATACTTGATTGTTGACAGCACCAGTATGGTTAAAATGTTCACACAGAAATGTTATAGTTCCATCATCACAGAGTTTACCCTAATGTGATAAAAATTAATCTAAATGTTTTTCAGTACTGATCTAAGTAACAAGTAACTGCTGAGTAATCAACACTGAGTTTAAAAACATTATAGAAAGATATAAAAAAAATAGTATCCGCATCACCCATATTATTTTAACACTTTTTTTTTCATCTTGAACTTGGATATATATAAATTGTCCCATTTTAATTTAAAAGGGTAAAAATGAGGCCTATTTGAAATATATAATCTTAATTATAGTTTTTTTTTTCTACTGTTATTTTAGCAGTACAGTTTGAGAGATTGTGGAGATAAAACTAATTTTCATAAGTGGGTCGAGTTAATAAACAAGAGTGGGGCGAATTGGTAGAAAGTGGAGTGAGTTGGTGGAAAAGTGGGGTGATTTGGCAGTGGGGGAGTTGTCTTGATTCTTGATGCGATTATATATTTCACATCATGTAGCTAGCAAGTTGTGAAATATGTAACATGCGGGTGTCTGAACTTGGTTCTAGATTTCAACGAACATAATTCATGTATATTTGGTAAATTAAAAAAATTAAAAGGCAAGTGAGGGATTTTGTTACAACCAATTAATTCAAGGCAGTGTCTGCATGACCCCGTATTTTCAGGGCAATTTCCAAAAAAATTTCACTGCAATGGAAAATATCTCACAGTGAAATTTTCCTCCAGAAAAAATCTTACATCATCTGCAACAATTTTTCCACCAGATCGCTGGGTGATATTTCATCCCGATAGAATTTTGCTTTACACAGACACTGCCTTAATTCAAACCCAGACCTGCCAACTTTTGAAAATCTCCATGGGGCGATTTAGTGCGCGACCAGATTTTTAAGGGTTACAATTTTTGCAGCGTTTCTCTGTGCACTGTTTTTTACTCTTGAAATAGTCTCTTATCTCTTCTTTTTTCTTTTGGTATACTGATGATGAGCTAATAAGCCTTGATTTCTTTTATTTGCATGATTCTTGTACTTATTAATTGGCAAAATAACTTAATAGAGAAAATTGGCCTAAAAAAATAAAGGATACAAAGTGAAGACCCCCCCCCCCCCCCTTTTCCCCCTCCAAAGACCTTCTTATCTTTGCACCATGACTCAAAAGACCTAAACCTTAATGTCCTAAAGTTAGAAGGATGAAGACAGATTTTGAGTTGGTCTATCAGTATTTATGAGAAAATGGATAAAATTTGAGTTATCTTTCTTTGTGTTCAGAGGTGCTCTTAATGGTGGAAGCTTATACTCAGTAGAAGTGAATACAAAATGGCATCGATTTTAAATCAGAACTGAACAGAAACACGTCTGATTTCAAAAATTTTAACAGATTTCAAGATAAAAGCTGTTTTCTTATGAGTTCATTACAGTTTTTGTCTTTCAGTTAATTACGATTTTGTCATGAAACTACGGTAAACGTTGCAAATTGTGATCGTATGATAATTTGATTAAAATTGAAATGCAGACTGACCGATACTGTTTACAAATTAATTAATTTTGAGAATTGTTATGACCCATCAGATAAGCAGATTACATGTAACAACAAATTATGACACCTGTTGTGACCGTTGATTAGCGTAGGGTCGTAAACTTGTCATAAATATGTTGCCAGGTAAAATTATAGATTTATAGAAATTGATCAGAAAAACTTCAAAATCGGTAACCAATAATTTTTTCAGGTATATTTTGTGAAAATCAGGATTTTTATTTTTCACTCTATTCGGTCCTGCCTTTTTTTTTTTAGTTTATCCTGACATTTCTTTACCTAAATTGTCATCCTGCCTTTTTTTTTTGCAGTGTCTTATCCTGCCTTTTTTTTTTACTCAAAACTCTTGTCCTGCCTATTTTTTCAAATTTCATCCTAGCCCCCCCCCCCCCCCATAAAGGGGGGGGCTAGGATTATAAAATATATATCCTGATTTTGGTGGGATCATCCCGATTTTCATGCCTCAACCCGAATCCTGATATCGGGATCTATAAAATTTATAAAATATGTGTCTCTTATCATTGAGAAAACATATCTCTGTATATTTGTTTTTTGTTTATTTTTGTCTGTTTTTGTATTTGTATTTTGTAAATGTATTTTGTAAATGTCAACTGGTATCATTCCTGTATTGGAATTTACACCAATAAAATTATTTGATTTGATTTGAAAAAAATAAAGGTCAAATGGTAGCTCCCTAATTCTTTCAAAGAAAGTTTGTCTGTACCATGTGTACCTAACATTATTGCTATCATATGTACAGTTATGATAACTTATGCTTCTACATCCTGTAGATACTGTTCAAGTGAAATCCAGGATTCTAAAAAGGTTTTGGGGGGGGGGGGGCCTTGTTAGCCAATGTCTGGAAAAAGTATATACATTCATCATATATGTAGGTCCATAAGGGGGCCCTGGCCCCCACCCCACCCACCAACCCAGGGGCATAGGGAGCCTGGGACCCCCTCTTGTGGAAAAAAAATTGTTGATTTTTTAGAGAATCATTGAAGCGAGCCCCTCTTTTGCAGTCAAAGGGCTTCCCCTTGTGAAAATTTCTTGATCCACCACTGCTGCTGTTTATCTATATTTTGGCGTTGCACAAGGTAATGTCTACTAATGTTTGTTTTTTTTCAGACTGTTTATCTGTTAGTGTTAAGTCGTCTTTACACTAAATGATCCTAAATCCGTTGGATTCCAATACACCTTATCGCTATTTGTCCGCCATTACTGGACATCACAAAAGTTCCCGTAAAATTTTGACGTCATAATAGAAAATATCTGACGCCACAATGGAAAAGTGATTGTTGCATGACGTCAAAAGTTCAAGCGGGAATAGCGATAAGGTGTATTGTTTCCTCCCATGTTGTTTTAAAATCTATGGAACCGTAATAAGATGTGTTTTGTTTACCAGATAAACTTGAAAATACATTCTTTGAACATGGACACAGGGATTATCTAAACTATAGACTGTCCCTGATGGACAACAAAATCGACAGCTAGTCGTTGGTGGGAAATACCCTTTTTTCCTACTTTCGTTTCTGATATTGTAACGTACAAAGAATCTGGGTCGATTCGGCCTGATTCACGTTCGCCCTAAAATATTCCTGTCCGCCCTGATTTTTTTATTTTACTTCTTCCGTTAATCAGTAAAGGATAATGTATCCATCACATTGCTTTAAAATGTGTATTTACAAAAAAAATATTTATTGTTCGGTGCAGATTAAAAACATGATCGACGAATTTAAAAGTATAGCTGTGTTGTTATGATCTGTTATGTCTCTGGTCATTTCCAGCGGAGCGTCTTTTTACCACAGAACATCACAGAATACCACAGAACACTCAAAATGTACCACAGAACTACACAAATTACAACAAGAGTGCACACGCTGAAATGTCTCGCCTTTACTAATCATTGATATTATGTTGATAGTCCTAAATATAAAGCTTTATTACAACTGTCACATAAACTTAACATTAACCAAGTAAACTAAACATTGACCAATAAACCATGAAAATGAGGTCAAGGTCAGATGAACCATGCTAGGCAGGCATGTACAGCTAACAATTCTTCCATACAACAAATATAATTGTCCTACTGCTTATAGTTTAAGAAAAACAGACCAAAACACAAAAACTTAACACTGAGCAATGAACCTTGAAAATGAGGTCAAGGTCAATTAAAACCTGCGTGACTGACATAAAGATCATAAAATATTTCCATACACCAAATATAGTTGAACTATTGCATATAGTATTAGAAAAAAAGACCAAACCTCATAAACTTAACTTTGACCACTGAACCATGAAAATGAGGTCATTTCTTACAGACTCAATTACATTTACCTGATCGGGACCTGTGTCCAAATATTCATACCATTTTGAAGCTACTATTGACATTGCCACTCGGTTCTTGCTCATGTGAGAGATCTTTTCTGCACTTCGGCGTTTAAAGACATGGTGTAGATCAACAATGACCGAGAACAGATTATGTGGTTTAGCCTTGCTTCACGTCCATCGTACGGACAATGTCGGGCAAGTAAACGCAGAAGCTGTTCTCAAACGATGGGATCTTAGTGACACAAGAAAGGTCGAACTAGCGATTACAGACAAAGACTAGATTCCATTCTTTGGTCTTTATTAAAAATGTTATTAAAATGTGTGTTATTTTTATTGCAGCGTTGTTCACACACACTTGTCCCGCTTTTTCTACTTTTAAACATGTACCCTACTGTAAATGGATACATGTTTTCATGGACCAAAATTCGAGGCAAGTATCTATCAGCCGGCTCTGGATGCGGCTAATGCATTTCTTCATACAGTAAATATGAAACAAAAATTCGTAAGGGTTCCACGGAACCCAGTGTACGTCTCGCCTATAGCTACTTTTGCTGTTAATCGCAGGCTCAACAAAAATGAGGAAAACAAATAATAAAAATATTCCTCTCTATACTATCTTTTGATTATTAGTAGCTTCTGTCCAAACTTTGGTAAAAATCCAGGATAGTTTATGAATCTAATAAATGTTTTAAAAACTTAAACTGCAGACTGTATGTAATGTTAACTGGAAGAAAAACTAAGTCCATTTATAAGTAAAATACGGAAAAATGGATTTTTTTTTTACAAAATTTACTTCTGGATACTATCTTATGATCATAAACAAGCTTCTTTCCAAGTTTGGTACAAATCCAAGATAGTTTAAGAAAGTTGTTAAAATTTTAAAAACTTTAACCACAGAGTGAATGTAATGTTAACTGGCAGAAAAACTAAGTCCATTTATAAGTAAAATACGGAAAAATTGATTTTTTTTTTTACAAAATTTACTTCTGGATACTATCTTATGATCATAAACAAGCTTCTGTCCAAGTTTGGAAGAAATCCAGGATGATTTAAGAAAGTTATTAAAATTTCAAAAACTTTAACTACAGAGTGAATATTTGTGGACGCCGCCGACGACGACAACAACGACGACGACGACGACGCCGACGACGGAATGTAAGGTTCGCTATGTCTCACTTTTTCGACAAAAGTCGAAGGCTCGACAAAAACGATAAATATGATACAAAAATGGATGTTACAAGATATATTTCGAACCCTAATAATACAATTTTCGGCCGGGGGGTTTGCCCCCCTGGTCCCTCCCACTACCAGGGGGCCTCATTCGGCGGCCCCCAGATCCCTGCCTCGTCTGTTTTAGATGCCTAGTTACGGCCCTGAAGTGGTATTTCTGAAATTAACTTGTGACAAGTTACCAAAAGCTGATGCACTTAACGCACAATTCCAGTCTGTATTCACACCAGCAACTATAAATATCTCCCGTACAGAATTTGGCAAACAGTGCAACATGCCACAGAATACTCCTTTTCCGACAATATCATAATTATTAATAAAAACAGAAGGTATACAAAAACTTTTACAAAACTTAAATCCAAACAAAGCAGCAGGACCGGCCAGATGAAATTAAACCAAGATTTTTAATAGAACTATCACTTGAAACTGCACCAATACTTACCATCATCTTTGAGAGGTCAGTTCAAACCGGCATTGTTCCAGATGACTGGAAAACTGCCCATGTCTCACCTGTATACAAAAAAAAGGTCAAAATTATAACGATAAAAACTATACCGCCCAATATCCCTCACATGTATTTGTTGCAAACTTTTAGAACACTTGGTAGTTAAACACATCATGAAACATGCAGATAAACACAACATCTTATATCCCCTAGGCTAGAACATGGATTTCGCAGAGGTCGATCCTGTGAAACACAATTACTTGAATTCACTTAACATGGAAAAGGGTAAACAAACAGATATTGTGGTCATGGATTTCTCAAAAGCTTTTGATAAAGTTTCACATTCTCTTCTCATTAACAAACTTCTACATTACGGGATACAAGTAAATTAAATTTTTGGATACAAAATTGCTTAAGCAATCACAAGCAGGCAGTAGTTTTAGAGGGGTAAACATCTGAGTATGTAACAGTCGAGTCGGGGGTTCTACAGGAGTCAGTTCTTGGACCAAGTCTTTTCCTGTATTACATAAACGATATTCCAACTGGTCTAACATCTGCAGTGCGTTTGACACCATACATGTATTTTATTTGGCAACAAAATCAAATTCTGATCAGATGCATCCACATTACAAAAAGATCTTGACAAATTGGCATCACTGGAAACTACGTGGAAAATGGCATTCCACCCTGATAATTGTAATGTTATTTCAGTCACAAGAAACAAAAAAAAATCAAATTTACCTACACATTACACAATCACTCTTTATAACATGTAACAACAGCAAAATATCTGGGGGTAACCATAAGCTCAACCCTGAAATGGGATGTACACATTAACAACATATGCAATAAAGCTAATAGCACCCAAAGCTTTTTTTAGGAGGAACCTCAATATTAGCTCAACATCCATTAAAGAGCAAGCATACAAGTCCCTAGTAAGACCATCACTAGAGTATGTTTGCTCTGTTTAGGATCCATACTTACAACAAGACATAGATAGCATTGAAAAAGTTCAAAGGAGGCTGCCCGTTTTGTAACCAACAAATACAGAAACACCTCAAGCGTTGGTAACATGTTACAACACCTTGAATGACGCAGCCTCTCTGACAGAAGAAAAGATCGATTCACGATTCAGTGGCGGATCAAGAACTTGTTGTAAGGGGGGGGGGGGGGGGGGGGGCCGCTGACTGACCTAAAGGGGGGGCCGCTCCAGCCATGCTTCAGTGATTCCCTATATAATCAACCAAATTTTTCCCACAAAAGGGGGGGCCGAGGCCCCCCCCCCCCCCTTGGATCCGCCTATGCGATTGGTAATGCCATTATGCTATAGAAAATAGAACACGGAAAGGTTGCAATACCTAAAAACAATATTTTAATTCCACAAAAAAGACAAACAAAACATTCAAATTCGAACAGCTTCCAAATTCCATCCTGCAAAACATAGTACAGCAAAGAATCTTTTTTCTCGGGAACAAACTACCTGATAACATTATAAATTGCACATCAGTAGACTCTTTCAAATCATCCATTATAAACTCAAATATTTACATCGAACTAATTGTACATTTATATTTTTCATTTTTCCTCTATTTTTGATTTGTATATATATTAATCTATGTCTTGTTGTAAGTTATCCTCCTGTGAGAAAATCTTCAATTTGTTGAAGGCGGTCACTATAATAAATTATGGTAGAAGTAGAAGTAGAAGATTCCATTCTTTGATTGTTTGGGGGGTAGAAACTGTTTTGATACTCCACAGTATTGCATTGTGGCTGCATTAAATATATGTACATGGAGGGATTGTCTTGTTCGTCTAGTATTCGACATGTTGTATTTTGGTATGTCAACATGATGGTACATGATTCTTTTTTTTAATATTATTAGCCTGTGTATCTAGCGTCTTGCTTCCAATGTTGGCCAGTTTAAGTGTTGCATGTCATAGATCCTGGATGGTATTCATAGATGCTTGATACGAAACTCGCTGCACGGTGTTGTACTATTTCTATTCTATGAACATCCTTCTTCCAATGGGGTTCCCATACTGAGCTGCTGTATTCAAGATGTGGTATCACTAGTGCCAGATATGCCTGTTCCTTGGTGTTTTGCGGACAATTGTGAAACTTGAGTTTCGTCGTATGAACTTCAGTTGGTTGGTGGCCTTATTTACTTTATTTGTGATGTGTTGATCCCAATTTAGTTCATTGTCAAGTTCAACTCTAAGATATGGGTTATGGATGTTTACCTCTAATTGAGTCTTGTGGAGGTAATATGGTCGATTGATTTTCCCTCGAATGTTACATGGGTTACCTGGACTAACTAACACTTTTTGGGGTTAAAAGACATTTTCCAGCATAGAGACCAATATATTGATCTATGATATTTGAAATAAAAACGAACATAAATTCAGTCATTTTGCCGGTTCACATTCTATCAAGGGCACCTTTTTAAAGGGGCATTTTGACTGTCAAATTCATGTTCACCGATTTGACTCAAATTTCATATTTGATT